GTGCTGGTGCTGAATCGGCCGGTGCTGGTGCCGTGCTTGTGCAGGCGGTGGCTCTGGATCGGCGCTTCGTTTTTCTGGTGCTGGTGCTGGTCCAGGGATGACATCATGTCATGCCCAAAAAGATATCATGCCATGCAAGGGATGACATCATGTCATGCCCAGGGATGACATCATGTCGTGCCAGGGGTGCCAAACCTATACACCCGCTATCTGGGGTCTATGCCGGTGTAATTTCTTGTCGTCGCAGGGGTTGCATGTTGAGTGTCGAACGAAAGAGCTGCCACAGGGATTGCATGTTGAGCGTCGATCGGGAGAGCTGCCACAGGGGTTACCATTCTGAGCGTGGAACGAAAGAGTCGCCCCAGGGTGCTACATATCAGACCGACCCCACTAAGCAACAAAAAGTTGGACCGATTAAGATTTCATTCTTTTTGGCTGACTGATCATTGCTTCCAGAGCAGATGGCGGGCATCATCGGGCTCGTGAATTTGTTGGGGTCTCCGGCCGCTGACCGTTTAGCAACAGGAATCGGAGCTGAGAAGGACCAAGGGACTCCCGAAGGAAGGATCACGGTCATTGTCATCAGAGATGATGCACATGTCAGTGGACGGGTCGGCGTGGCAACAACCGCCAACAATGGTGATGGCAGTGTCCTTCAGGAGATAGGATCTACTGGGGTTTTCACTGCAATAGCCGAGGGAGATGTGAACGGGATCGCAGAGTCAGTCCGGAATTCCTACGCAGCCGCAGGTGCTCCAGTTCCTGGGAACTGGTCCACAGGTGCAAATGCAGCAGCTGCGCTTGGTGCACACGGAGGTGACGTTGCTCCGTTCGACCAGAACGCTAAGTCCGGTGCTCTGAACCTCACAATTAGACAGTGGGCAAGCTCAACCTCACTGCTCACGCTGCCACCGTGGACCCTGGCAACTGGACATTTCGCACAGTGAACAGGACGAATTCGCTCATGATCGGCATCGATGGCATCAGCATCCACAGGAAAACCGAAAAAAAATGAAGGATCTCTTTTCTTCTTTCCAGAAGCACTTCACTCCCAGGCCAGGAGCACCTGTCCTCCCTCCCAACACGGATACCGTCCACAACTGGGCTGCACTAGGAATGGACATTCCCTTGGTTCAACTGTGGGGTGCTGCAGGGGCTGGAGTCACTGCGATTGCGGCTGTTGCGGAGGGAGCATACGCGCACTTCGAGGAGTCGCTCTTCGGGACTATCAACGCTTTACAGGCGGTTACCAACGGACCGGCACATGCTGCTGCGGGCCTTCATGTCGCAGCTCCGGCAGCATTGGTTGCTGGGTTTTTGCCAAATGGTGCATGGATCAACGGGCTGGTGGTCTATCGTGATGCCACAGCCGTACCGGTGCTCACTGCACACTCTGGGGTTCCAGGAGCAGTGATTCCGCAAGGTCGGGCAGGAGCCGGAGCGACCAACCGTGCAAACGCTGCAGCCCTGATCCGCGCAGAGAAGGTCCTCTTCGTTGGGATTTTCCCCCACAACGCCAACATTGAGAGCACCATTCACATTGGGTGTCGGGTCTCAACCCTGCTTGCAAACTCTCTGATCAAGTCCAATGGGAGGACCGTTGCCCGCTCAGGGACTTGTTCTGCACCGCCACAGGCCTGGACCCTTGGAGCTATTGCTACGGGCGTTGTCGAGGAGGCGGGTATCGAGGGATATTTCCCCTTCCGCTCGGAGGTCGTCTATGCCACTCCTGCGAACCAAGTCCCGGCCATTCCGACTCCCCTGCCGAACCCCGCTACGCCCCTGAGTCGAGCCCAGGCATTGAGAACTTTTTGGAATGTGGATGATCCTGTGTTCGGCGCCTGGAGCAGCCCTGCCCCGTATGTCAACGACCTTGGGCGTGTGATGAAATGGCTGACCGACACCATTCAGGCCCCTGCTGGAATCGGATCAGCTTTCAGCCGCAATTACATCTCCTTTAACCATTCCTTGGAGGCACCACCGGGTTCCCAGAACATGATGCGGCAAAAACGGTTGTTGTGCTGGGATGGGCACAAAAAGAGGCACACCGCAGGAAAGAAACGGACACTGTTTGCAACCTGAACTTGAAAAAGCCAACCTGCTGCCTCCCCGTCCTGAGCTCCATGGAGGGGCTGAGGACGGCTCTGACACTTCTGGTGCACGTCGCCCGGCCGACGTTTGGGTACCACACTGGAACCTCCACGGGCCGGCGGCCTTTGATCTCGCTGTGACCTCTGGTTTGCGGCAAGGCCACTGCTTCTGCGGCTGATGGTGCCGCGCCAGCGCTGACTACGAGGTCCGCAAGTGCCAGCACCTGCAGACGGAGCAATCGTGCGCTGCTGAGGGCCTTCAAGTCTGGCCCCTGGTCGTTGAGGCTTGTGGAGGTGGATGGGGGCCCACCGCCCTCCGTGCGTGGCGCCTTCTGAGTGATGCCCTGACTGCCCGCGGCGGTGAAGGTCGGGCTGTTGAAACGCAGCGGTTGCTGCAGGCCCTTGGCATCACCCTCCAGCGGGAGAATGCCCGGGCAGTGCTGCGCAGACTGGCGAGCCCTTAGGCTCTCCTGCAGAGTGGGACCACGTCCAGTGAGATTTCCGGGTGGTGCTCCATTTGAATTGAATGGTTGTCCTGATTCCGCGCTTCTTCTCCTCTTTCCTGGATGCTGCAGTGCACTGCTGACAGCCTTTTGGGCCCACCTCTACCACCTGCCTTTCTTCGTTTGCCCTCGTGGCGCTGCCGTTTCCTTTCGCTCCGTTTCCTCCGTTTCATTCCCCTTTTCGCCCGGGTACAGCTGCCTGGTGTTTCAGGGTTGTGTGTAGAGCCTCCGGCCTCTGCCATGTTTTCGTTTCACCGCGAAGGAAGACTCGTGCTTAGTAGGGAATGAGGTCATGAACCACCCCTTTTGGCCCCTCAGGATCCATTCCCTTATTCCCTACGAGTCGCACCAGTCAGGTTGCATGAACATATTACTTCTTATGACAGTGTGTCAGTGATTAAGATATTTTGGTTTGCTGGCTGGCTGGCTATTTTTTGCATTGCAATGCTTCAAAGCAAACTATACCAGCATATGCAGCATAGGCCCCAAACAAGTGAGGTTTCTTTTTGCAGCAGTCTGTTGAATTCCAATGGTGGTAGCGTCGTGATTTATATTCCTATAGCCTCCGGCCGCTTGGGAACAACATGTGAACACAAGAATGTTAGAAAGTTATTGAAAACAATATTTCTTGACTCCAGGGTCACATGTGCACAACCGAAGGGATAAATGATGCTATGAGAAAATCAGCGGGTGACATCAACCTCAAAAGGTTGTTTCGATGTTGCATTCATTAGCCACGCGAGAACATACATACCCGGACAAGGCAATGAAGAAAGGGAAAGCAGAACAATGTTCGGACAAGGTGGTAGGCACCCGGGCAAGGCAATGTATTTTCCCCAAGAAGGAGAACCCCAACAATAAACTGTTTGGGGAACCATTCCGATTAGTATTCACTATACAGTAACAAAAAGTGTCTATGAAGGACCTTGTAACACATAGGTGGGTAGAAAGAAATGAAATCTTTTGACGAATCACACTATGGTAGCCAAACTTTAAAGAAAAAGTTTCTATTTCAGGATAGATCTGACAATTTTCGGACAAGTTGATACATAGAAAACATCACTGGATACTAGATACCAAACCACAATCCATGACAAGGATACAGTGATGAAACTTTAATAAATGTATATGTAAAAAATGATTATAATTTTCACACAGGACCTGACCAAAAAAATCGGAATTGGTGATTAATAGAAAATGTCAGTAGATGCCAGATCATACTCCACTACAAGGATACAGTAACCAAGACAAATATTTCAATTTAAAGTTTCACAATGGACCTGGCAAAAATCGAATCAACGATTTTTACGAAATGTCAGTTGATGCCCGATGCCAGACCTCAATGGAGTAAATGAAGCAGCGGTGGTCAAGGGACGGCAAATTCGACTTCTCACTTTAAAACTAGAGCGGGCGATGTTGCACGCGACGCTTAGGAGCTCTGAACATCGCGAGCGCTACCCGCACGTTGACTGCCGGACATCTAAAAGCGTTTCGGTGCAGGAGCCTGACAAGATGAGCGCAAAGAGTTAGCATTGTGCTCCGTCCCGCCTTTGTATCCTCATAAAAAAGATGACCGTGCTGAAATTGATATAAACAAATATAAACGTATTTCTTAAAATTGTCTCCAAAAAAGATAGGGTGCGTTGGACCGTAACCAGGTTTTAACTTGCTTGGTCAACGGTTTTGCCTTTAAAACAGTATTCTGGAGACAATTTTGCCTTTAAAAGCGGACTTCTGCAAACAATTTCGCTTCTAAAGCGGCCTTTCGCTCTTCAATTGGCTTCTGTGAGTCATTTTGTCTCCTTCTGTAGACCCATTTGCTTTTAAAGCGGCCTTCTGTAGGCTATTTCGACTTAAACATGCTCTTCTGTCGGGACTTTTGCCTTCAAAATGGTCGTGTACTGTTGGTCATGGTGTGTACTGGATGTGGCGGCAGATTTGTTGAAAACCGCCACATCTAACGTGCATTGGCCGCCCTTGTTGTTGCCAGCTTGCAGATATAACTATAAGCTTACATGCGGGCGGGAGATGACCAAAGTAATGGAGGAGTGTCTCGCAAGTCGAAGCCCCTGGAAAGAGGCAAAGAACATTGGGGCCAACCCGATTTCCTGTGCTCTACCCTGGGCCATGCTTTCCAGGCCGATGGCGCCGTGGGCTTCTCGTTGCGTGTCACCGCGGCGGCACAGCTGGGGGATTCGGAGGCGTGGAATGGGTCTCCGGCCCGTGCGGGTTTCACCGCGTTGGCGTCGGGCAACAGATCTTGGGTTCTCTGTGATTGGTCACTTCTCAGTACTTCGGTGGATATGTTCCCCTTACGGGAGCAATCCATTCTCTTGTGAAAAGTGTATTTCAGGATCCTGAATTCAAGATCTTGAAGGGTGAAATACGAGTTGCAAGCTGGAGCCTGATCAGAGGTCAACAAACATCTAAAGGGGGACGTTGGAAGTGAAGCTGAAAGTAGAGATGCCAAGACATCCACACGGTCCTCTTCCTGCTGTCAAGGGTTCTTCCTACATGGAGTTTGATTCAACTGCTAGGAGGCAGCACACGGAAGAAGGGCGGAATGGGTCAGTACTTATTTAAAAAACAAAAAACAATCCAAAAAGAATTCATGCATACAGTCAGAGGTATGTAGTTGGTCTCTCAGTGCCGAGTGGCCTCTCAGTGGCATGGCTAGATGGCTAGTATCAGCCTAGGACCTACCGTTTCTAGTCTACTCTAGTTTTCCTTTGACCAATGGTGCTACTTAGCTTCGATCTTGAGCCACAGGCAATGTCAGTGAATTCTTTTTCGGTTCAATGGGCAACTAGACTGTGCTTTAAAATAGCTCACCGGGCATGGAAGGTTCTTCAACTCGAGAACTGCAGGGGGGGGGTGAATCCCAAAAAAGACCATCCCAAGAACCCAGGAGACCGGGATCGACAATCCTGATCCTTCCCACCTGCAACGCCACGTCCACGTCCTTCCAACCACTGCCTTTCAACCTCGTAGCAACCACGTCGCTCCACCGGCACCGGTACGGCACCGTCATCCGTACCGTCGTCGCGGCGGCCAGGGCTTGGCTTTGGGCTTCACCACGCGACCCCCCAACGAGCTGGAGACCTTGCCCAGCACGGCGGACGAGGCACGGACGGACGCGCTCGGTGGCGCGGTGGAGGGTCGGTCGGGAACTGGGACGGCGTCCGCTTCGGCTTCGGCGGTTCAGTGTGCAGATGACTAGCATCTGTGAGAACATGGGAAGCTACTGGATTCCTTTCCAAGCTAAAACCGAAAACATGGGATCATGGGCAAGTTGAGCAGCCATCGACTGAAGGACCCGACAACATGAAGAGATCTCCTTCCAAAGTAAGTCCGACCTACTTGGGCCACCCGGCACACGTCGGCTTAAAGTTGTTTAAGGTCCAAGTGAAGATGGATCAACACACCCAGACACTCCATGTATGGCATGTTTACCTACATTGGGGTGGTGTTTGATGGGTCAATGGGGCGGCATATATGACAGACGTGGAGTGTCTGGGACATGTCAAAACCCGTGCAACTCTTGTGAGTTGACAGGCCGGATCATGGGTTTACCAAACTCTCCCTACCATTTGGTACGATCAGAGAATGTGTAACAACTGATACGGTGCTCATATTAATGTTTACTCCCTACTACCTACCATTTGTGGATCGCTTTCTGGGCGATTTCTGATACATTCTGATTGGTCCGACTATATGACTTGATTGTTTTTCTATGACTTCTTCTACAGACCCAAGGCAGCTAAGCCAATCGAAGCCATCGCCTCCACACGTTCATCCACTGGCCGCGACCAAGGTCGATCCCTCATACCTGCTGGGCTTCGATGGCGCGGCCTGGGATGGCTCCGCACTGAAGTGGCATTTCAGCCACTGGCAGCCGCAGACCCTCAAGGCGACTCGGCGGCACCAGCACCAGATCGGCGCGTCAAGACCTGGTCTTCCACGTCTCGCGGGTCTCGGAGCTGGTGGGAGAACGCTGCAGCTGGTTCTGCAGGTGGATGGTGAGTGGTGTTTTTTCGGGGACGGAGAAGCACGCGGAGAGGGCATCCCAGCCAGCAGGATGCTTATGATGCAACATGAATTTCACTCAGCCGGCTCTGCCTGGCTCCTGAAATGGCTATGGGAATGCAGAAGGAGATCCCATTGGCATCACTACATCATCATCTTCCGAAACGGAGCTCAATACACAACGATCACCACGATGCACGTAGCGAACGCTTCAACGGCGTGCAGACCGAAAGGTTCCACAGGCAGACCGAAAGGCGCGGGTGTTTCTTACTGCTCCGATTTCGGCACAGTGATATCAAGAGGTCTGAGTCTGGAAGGTGGCTGCCTCTCCAGCTTCATGGCCTCCGGGGACGTTCTTTCGATCTTTTGCGCAGTGGCGGTGAGCTTGGTCCTTCGTGGTGAGCCTGTCTGAACGCACATTGGGCCTTCCAAACAGCCATGGGTGTGAACCACCACTGGAAACAGTATCACCGCTTGACGAGTAGATCACAAAGTGTTCCCTTTTCCATCCTTTTCCCGTCAGGCGGATCTTCGCAACTCTGTGACCAATGCATGTTTTACTTGTTTCATAGATCCGATGCTGATACACTATGGCGCAACCAAGACGACCAAGCAGTCCAAACCTGCAAAACTCAGCAACCGCAGTGACTCTTAGATGACGTTCTTTGGCGTTTGGCTGTTCACCAAAGATTATCACGAACCTTGGTAGCAAGATCTTCACTCTGACACCTGACCAGCTGTTTTAACGTTGCTGAATCGGCACATGGCATACGGGTTCAATACGGATACACCTGGCATCATAGAGTCCTGTTTTCGAACTCCTTTCCCTGAAAACCACGTCGATTCCATTCGATTCCACTGTCCTCACTTTCGCACCCTTGGGATGCCCTGTGGCGGCTCCTGGAAAACCGGAGCGTCCCACGCGCGGTGCAAAGCGTCGGACGGTCGTGCTCTTAGGCCTTTGACCGAGTGGATGTGCTCTTAGAAAAGCATCGCCTACAAGCGCCTTGTGCTTTTCGAACACGTCGGACTTCGGTTTGTCCACACTTCGCGGTGACCATACGTTCTTCGTGACGGGAATGAGTCACGGCTCTTCGTCGCGGTGTGTGGAACAACGACCCGCATCTTTGGAGCGAGTCAGGTAGGAGGTTTGTGCGACTACCGATGGGTGAAAGGTCTCCAACATGGGTTTGTAGGAGGTTTGGGTGTAGGAGGTTTGTAGGAGGTTTGGCGAAATCCATGGGTCTGAAAGGTCTTTCAATGGGTGACTACCGATATAAAAGGTCTTTCAATAGTATCCAGGCATGATCATTCCCTTCGTGTCGAACTCTGGGACCCTCAAGTTCTGTTTTCTTTTCGGGTCTTCCCGCCGGATCTGGACGGAATCGGAGATAGATGCTCTATGAGAATGTGTGAATCTTGGCTTGGTCCCGTTCCCTCCGTCATCGTTGGCAAAGAGCATCATCCTTGTTTGCGAACGCAGAGGAAGGAACATTGCACAAACGAAAGGACAAACGTGTCCATGTCGTCGAATGGTTGAAACATGGAGGGCCCGAGGGTTTCTTGTTCCTTGTCTTCCAGTATTCAGCATCGGGGGGTCACAAACCATTGGAGGTCGTCTCTGCTCATTAGAGCGATGGCTTGGGAGCTACGAAGCTCAGGTGGCGGTGAACGGCAGCCGTGTGGCTGCTCAACACATGCAGGCCGGGCACGAAGAAGACCACGAAGACAGTGGTGTTGTCTCAAAACAAGGTTGAACCCGTCTAGAGTTGCAGGCTTGCAGGCAGCTAGTTTTTCTGTAGAAAAAGGACGTGAGAATGTGAGATGCGACATGTCCATGCTTCTGCAGAGTCCAAAGTGACCAAATGGCCAAACCTCATCGATCTGGGAGTGACCAAAACACCGTTGGCGAATGCAGGAAACTGAGGAGATCCCCCCGCCTACCCACGAAAAGTGGATAACCTGGATAACCTTGTTGGTGGATTGGTTTCCCCGGTGGAAACGTAGATGTTCCATCTGGATCTTTTCCGACACTCAGGGAGTTACAGTTAGGGCGCCCTTGTCACCCCCTGCCAGGTCTCAAGCCTGCAAGGGCCTTTTTACGCCCTCCTCGACATTGCCAGCGCTGGCATGGGCGAGCCTTGGCCAAGGGAGGGGGCGGACGTGGGCGGTTGTGGCAGCAGTGGGCGGGCGGAGTGGAAGGAGATCGGATGTCCTTGGTCTGCTCTTGGGGCATAGCCCAGGGAACCAGGCTGAAACAAGTTCGGAAGAGATGCTCCACGGTGAATTGGGTCCACCTGACCCTTTTGAAGTGTTGTAAGAGTATCTCCTTCGGGCAAAAAAAGCTCGTGACGCCACCATGCCCTCCTGGCCCTGGGTTCCTGTTATGATGACCTTGGTGGGAGCAGAGATGAGTATGACTCAGCAATGGGGGGGCGCTTGGTCTACGCAACAGGCTTGCTGTTGGGGTACAACACGCCACGCAACAGCAGGTTGCAACCACTTCACCAAGTAGGGTTGTGCGTCATGTTCCTTTGGCTCTCCCGGAAAAGCGGGGAGACTCAAACCAAGGACATCACCTGTCCATGTCTCATGTCTCAATCGTCCAACTGTTGGGCCGACCAGAGTCGGACGTCTGTTGGTGGACGGTGCATGTGTTTCAAGAGACAGACAGCGTCTCTGCCGACGAAAGAAAAGGGAAACAGATCCGACATCATCCGACCATCACTCATGAGGAGGTATGGCCAGGTAGGTATGTATTAACAAGAAGCTAGTAGTAACAAGTGCATCGCTTCTAGTAACAAGTGCCTTACTAGTAGTAACAAGAAGCTATTAGAAACAAGTGCCTTACTACTAGGAGCAAGAAGCTACTATGGGCTCCTGGCCTTACTAGTAGTAACAAGAAGCTAACTGGTAGAGTTAACTGGTAGGTGACATGATCCGAATGACTTCGGCCCCACGTCGTTCGGCCCGAACCGTTGTTCGGCGGTTCGGTGGTTGGTGACATCCGGTGTCGGGACGAACGAAAGGAACGAAGCCCATCCCGATTCGACGTAAAGACTGTAGCTAGTCAGACTATAGAGTAAAATAATAGTAAAAAGGATTCTTAGGGTAGTAAATAAGTCAACAACTAAAACCTCTCCAGAGAAGGAAGACCTCAGAAGGTCTCACAACATCTCACAACCAAGTCAGAAGGTTTAATTCCACGAAGTGAACGACCGGTGTCCATCTTCTTTCGCTGCTCGGTCTTTCCGTCTTCGATTGGTTCCTGTTCTTTCTTGGTTGGGTCCAATTAGCTCGCTCCCCTTGACACGATGTTGTCAAATTATCATCAATTCAGTCAGTACCCGTAAAACCCTGCACTCCCACCCAATGGTGTTTTTCAGGCGCCCCCCTCCAAAAAAGAAAGGGCTGCTGGGTTTTGGGGAGGTCACAACCATCTCCAGACCGGACCGTCGCTCCCGCGGGACCGTGGGCTCCACCGAGGTGGCTCTTTTGGCGTCGACGGCTCCGCAGATCGGCCACTGGGGAGCGAAGACGGGTGAAGTGCGGTATGGGGAGGGAGTGTGGTTGGGTGAGCTCAGTGAAATGTGGTTGGGAGTGTGGTTGGGGTTTGGCTGATGGTTTCATGAGTGTGGTTGGATCTGAAGGAAATGGTTGGGATAGAGTTGGTAAAACTAGACGACGAGTGGCCCGAAAGCATTTTTCATCACGTAGGAAATCAGAGTGCGAGTTATCCGGTAAGTGTGTAGTGAGAAGTGTTAAGTCGAGTGAGTTGAGGTAGTGTGTGGGTTTCTGTGCGTGTGTCCATGTCCGTGTGGAAAGGAGTCTGCGTATGTGTGCGTTCGTGGAAGTTGAGGGAGTGTGTGGGTGTTTGTGTGCGATGCGGCCTCCCAAACCCCCCACCGGCGGCCAAGCGGTGACAGCCCAGCTCATCGTCGTGAGCATTTGGGCTGCTGGTAAGGGGACAATGGCAGCCAGCGTGCTGGCTTACCCACTTCAACTATGATGGCAGCCAGCGTGCTGGCTT